TTTTTGGTTTTTCGAGACAGGGTTTCTCTGTAGCTTTTGGAGCCTGTTCTGGAACTAGCTCTTGTAGACCAGGCTGGCCTCGAACTTACAGAGATCTGCCTGCCTCTGCCTCCCGAGTGCTGGGATTAAAGGCCTGCACCACCACTGCCAACTGGATTTGCTTTTCTGTTTTGCTTGTTGTTTGTTTTGCTTTTTGAGATAGGGTTTCCTGTCACTCAGGCTGGCCTTGAACTTGTTGTGGCAGGAAGAAGACTCGTGTCCCCACGCCTCTACCTCCACCGGGCTGGGATCACAGCATGCAGAGCCACGCCCTGTTTATACAGTGCTGGGCACGGACCCCAGGGCTCTCTGTGCTTGTTACCAGCTGAGCCATGTTCAGCCCCTTGCACGGAGGCTTTTGCGTTTGCAAGGTTCACACATGAAATGGTTCGTGCATCAAATCTGCACAGGAGAGTTTTTTATAACATGTGTTTATAACATAGGGAATGGATGCTTTATCTTTTTCTGTTTTTCTTTCCAAATCTTTTTAAATAACATGTTTTATCTCCCAAACAAATTTGACAGGTAGAAGATGTAAGGCTTAGGGGTCTGGTGGCCTGAGGGTGTGGCTGTGTGGGTGGATGAAGTGCGTGGAGTGGGGAGGTGGGGGAGAGAGGGTAGATATCAGGAAAGGTGGCTCTTGGGATGCCCCTGACCTTATCTGCCCCACCCTCTTCCCATCCCCATCAGCGGACCTGTACTCTGAGGTGCCTGGGGAGGAGGAACCTGCCTGGGTGCAGACAGAGAGGCAGCAGTTCCGGGACTTCCGGGATCTGAACAAGGATGGGAAGCTGGATGGCAGTGAAGTTGGCTACTGGGTGCTGCCTCCATCCCAGGACCAGCCCCTCGTGGAGGCCAACCACCTGCTGCACGAGAGCGACACAGACAAGGTGAGTGTTGGGTCCAGGGGGGTCGCGCAAAGATGGGAACGCCACCAAGTCTAATAAACCAGAAGCAAACTTTATTCCAGAAACAAACTTAAAAATAAAAAATAAAAAAACAAAAAAAAACACCGCAGGGTACAGAAGCTTATCAGCTAGCTGTGACCACAGCCAGAGATGGTGTTTGTTAGGCTGTGGCAAAAGGCCGGTTTCTGAACCCATCTTTTATAGTTAGGGCACCAAGCACTAGGTCTGAACAAAGGAATTTTTACAATCTCCCCGCTCCCTCAGGAGGGGAGTGAGTTCTAACGTCAATGGGTAACTAGGCAGCTATCATGAAATATGTTTCTGAGTAGATTACAGCGAAAGTCACTAATTGCAAGAAAACAGGTATCTTTAGTAATTAGTCAGAAAAGGGACTGCTAGTAATAGCAGAAGGTTAATAAATTAGAATTAATTGGTTCTTAGGCTGGGAACTTAGAAGATAGCAGAAAGCTTTTCATACTGTCTCTAGGGAAAACTCAGACACAGACTGCCATACTTTACATCCTCCATTATCAGAGCTCATTATTCAAACCAGGTGTTTGCACCTTGGTCACTGTTTCTCCTGGTATCTCCAGGCAGTGTATACTGGAGCCCCATGCCTCCCTTTTAAAGGTGCCAGTTTCCCATAACAGAGACAGTGCCTAACCCAGAGGTCACGCATCTCTGTCCCCTAGAGGTTAACTCAGTTTATATCTGTCATTCATCAACAACAGCCAGGACACTACTCTCAGTTTGCAGAGAGAAGCTCTGGCCTTGTAAGTAGAACAGTCAGTTGTAAAATGAAATGACCTAGGCTGATGGAGGCTTCTTAAGCTCTGAGAAAATAGCTCACTGTGAACAACGGATCCTTGATCTACTGAGAAAGTTGTTGGTAGTTTACTTAGGTTCACAGCTTTATGTCTCTCTTCCTATATCCTAAGCTTCTACATTCTAATCTTTGGTGTCTGTATTTCTATTTCTATATTTTCATTCTTGTTTCCAGACCCTTCAGTGAGCTTGGGCCACTGCAGGGACTCAGAAGGGTCCTGAAGCACAGAGAGGAGGAGAGACCCAGAGAGAGAGAAACGTAGACACACCCAGAAAGAGAGAGGGAGAGGGAGAGCCAGAGAGAGAGAGAGAAACATAGACACACCCAGAAAGAGAGAGGGAGAGGGAGACCCAGAGAGAGAGAGAAACAGACACGAACTGAGGCCCAGAGGAGAACAAGGCCGAGTGGGGCCCTGGGGACATTTTGAGTGGGTAGTGTCCAAGTGAACCCCTGACCCCCAGGATGGCCGTCTGAGCAAAGCTGAGATCCTGAGCAACTGGAACATGTTTGTGGGCAGCCAGGCCACCAACTACGGCGAGGACCTGACAAGACACCATGATGAACTGTGATCCTAGGTCTGCTCGGCCCTGTGACCCCAGGACTCCACGGGAGCAATTGAGGGGCCACTGCAGCCAACCTCCAGGACACAGACTCAGCTCTGGTGTCCCTAGTGGCTCTCAGGGACCCACTGAATTACCTTCTCCCCTTGAGACCCTGGCCCCCCGCCCTAGAGCCCCCTGTCTGCCCAGGACACGCAGGCACTCGAGTGACAGCCACTGACACCATCTCCCAGCTCAGGCCTGGCCCACCATCTCCCAGCACAGGCCTGGCCCACCATCTCCCAGCACAGGCCTGGCCCACCATCTCCCAGCACAGGCCTGGCCCACCATCTCCCAGCACAGGCCTGGCCCACACCCTGGCCCAACCCCAATCTGAGCCCCAATCACACGACTGACCTGTACCGCCCACTACCTGGGAGGAATAAAAGCCTTTGCTGGGGTCCTCTGGTATGTCTGTCTCTGGGGTGGGGTGAGGATGCTGTGCCCAAGGAGGAGCATGCTGAACGCTGGGTGCTGAAGCCTGCAGAAAGGTATCGCATCATGACCCCTTTGGGATTGAACAACTCTTTCACAGGGGTCGAATAGTAGATACCCTGCATATCAGATATTTACATTATGATTCCTAACACTAGGAAAATGACAGTTATGAAGTACAAACAAAATAGTTTTATGGGGGGCTGGAGAGATGGCTCAGAGGTAAAGAGCACAGGCTGCTCTTCCAGAGGTCCTGAGTTCAATTCCCAGCAACCACGTGGTGGCTCACAACCATCTGTAATGAGATCTGCTGCCCTCTTCTGTACTGCAGGATACATGCAGGAACCCTGTATACATAATAAATAAAAAATCTTAAAAAAAAGTAATTTTATGGTTGGGGTCGCTGCAACATGAAGAACTGGACTAAAGGTCGCAGCGTCAGGAGGGTCGAGAACCACTGGTCTCGGGCATTTGGACATGCCTGTTAGTGGAAATCTGAGGGCGTTCCCAGCCGCCTGGAGACCGCAGAGGAAGGCCAAGCAGGAAGTCCTGCCCTGTCAGTGCTGCCGGGCGGTGAGCAGCTCAAAACCACAGTAAGAGAAACACCACGGTTCTCGGAGAGATGCCCTGCGTAGATCCAGTGTTAGCCGT